CCACTTTTTTCCCGCCCCTTCCCGCAATGACCAATGAGCTTCCAACACGCTATCTCCTGCTACACCAATGTGGCTGTAGATCCTGCCCGAAGCCCCTCCCACTTCCTCCTCCCCCCTCCTCTCTTTCCCTTCCTGAGCGCCTAACTACTAGGTCAGCCAATAGCGCGTCGAATTGAGCCTCGGGCCTCTGGCCCCTCCCACCACCTTTCCAGACTGTTCTTCCCATTGCGGGTGGGATAGCCAATGGGGCGTCGAGTACCATCTCTGACGCACAAGCGGGACCCGCCCCTTTTCCCCCTCCTCCCCTTGGGAACGGCAGAGTGCGCTCTGGAGGATCACAGGCGTTGACCCGGGCCCCTCTGCGCATGCGCAGACGCTCCTGTCTGGCCTGCGCTCTCGGCCGCCTTGGTTTCCCCCTGCCCATGTCCGATTTTTCCCTGCAGCCTTTAGCCTGTTTGCTTGCTGCCGATTTCTAGGTTACATAGCCTGTGTAACTGTGGCGTACCAAGATGAAAGGATGGAAGAAGTGACCTCTAACTGGCCTGTGGTGCCAGGGAGCTGTTGGAGATAACGTTGGAAAGGTGGTTTGGGTTTCATTACATAGAGGGAGGCTTGAATGATCAGTTGACGAGATTGAACTTGATCTTGGGGTGTGGGGGGGAAGAAGAATGGGGCCACACCTTGTATACTTGAACATTTGCCTGACACATTTATATATATATATAATCTATTAATAAATGTACATAATATATAATTAGAATATTATATGATTATATTTTCTATACTATATAGTCTAGATCGAGTATATTACACAATAATATATTCAATACTTATATAGAATAATAAATAAACAGAATAAATTCTATATCAAATATGTATATACATTTATAGATATTGATACAGTACTGTGGCTTGAATTCACTTGCCTCTCTTGCTTAATTTTTTTTTTTTGTCAGTCCTGGGGCTTGAACTCAGGGACTGGGCTCTGTCCCTGAGCCTCTTTGTACTCAAGGCTAGCACTCTATCAAGTGAGCCACAGCACCAATTTCTGCTTTTTTGTGAGTAGTTTATTGGAGATGAGAGTCTCACAGACTTTCCTGCCTGGGCTGGCTCTGAACTGTGATCCTCAGATCTCAGCTTCCTGAAGAGCTAGTATTACAGGCATGAGTCACCGGTGCCCCATTTGCTTGACTTTTTTTTTTTGCTCAAGGCTGATGCTCTACTGCGTGAACCACACCTCTACTTCTGGCTTTTTGCTGGTTAATTGGAAACAGGAGCCTCTTAGATTTGTCTGTCTGGGCTGATTTTGAACCTTGATCCTTAGATCTGAGCCTCCTAAGTAGCTAGGATTATAGACACAAGCCACCAGCACCTGGAAGCATGGGATTTTTTTTTAATGTTTGTGTGTGTGTGTGTGTGTGTGTGTGTGTGTGTGCAGATCTTGAGGTTTGAACTCAGGACTGGGGCACTGTCCCTGAGCTGCTTTTGCTCAAGGCTAGAGCTCTATACTTGAGCCATGTCACCACTTCCAGCCTTTTCTGAGTCATTTATTGAAGATAAGAGTTTCATGGGCTTTCCTGCCCAGGCTGGCTTTGAACCACAGGTCTCAGATCTCAGTTCCCTGAGTAGCTAGGATTACAGACCTGAGCCACCAGAACCCAGCTGACACAAGACTTTTTTTGGTGGGGGAGGGTCCAGTCGTGGGGTCTGAACTCTGGGTCTGGGCGCTGTCCCTCAGCTCTTCAGCTCAAGGCTAGCACTCTTACCACTTGAGCCACAGCACCACTTCCAGCTTTTTTTTTCTGCTTATGTGGTACTGAGGAATTGAACCCAGGGCCTCAAGCATGCAAGGCAAGCGCTCTACCACTGAGCCACCTTCCCATACCCTGACACAAAACTTTTATGATCCACCAGGAATGTATTGTATATCTAATCAGCTTCTATATTATACATAATGTGATATTTCATGGTGTGTATCCCCTGAATATCGTGTATTTACTTGGTTTCTGGCAGGGAACAATCCTGAGTTTTTGTTACTACATTGCTCTAAGTTGTCATCCCATTAATTCTGCATCCTCCTACAAGCTGAGGGTGGGGATTTTTACTATGTGTACCTAGAATGTACCAAAAATGGGTTATTGATTGGTATTCTCAGACTTTATCCCACAGTGGTGTACTGAGCTCAAATCCCAACTCTTCTTTTCCTCAGGGATCAAGAAAATGGTCTTATCCTAACTACCCCATAAGCAGCAGTGGGTATTTTTATTTCCTTTATTTCTTGCTAATACTAGATGCATTTCTCAGGACAGTTGTATTTCCTCATGTGTTCCTTAGCCTTTCTGGTTGACTTGAATTTTTTTTTTTTTTTGGTGCTGGTATTAGGGCTTGAACTCAGGGCTTAAGCACTGCCTCATAGCTTTTTTGCTTAAGATTAGTGCTCTACCACTTGGGACATACCTCCAATTTTCAGCTTTTTTTGCTAGTTAATTGGAGGTAAGAGTTTCATACACTTTTTTATTTTTGCTCAAGTTGGCTTTGAACCATGATCCTTGGATTTCAGCCTCCTGAGCAGGCATGAGTCATCAGCATCACCCATGGTTTTAAATTTTCTTATTGAACCAAAGAGACATTTAGGATATAAATTAACTTACACTCTCACACAGTAATAAGTGATAATAATAATAATAATAATAATAATAATAATAGCCCATCCTGGGGCTTGAACTTGGCCTGGGAACTGTCCCTGAGCTTCTTTTTCTCAAGGCTAGCATCTGCCACTTGAACCACAGCATCACTTCCAATTTTTTCTGTGTGTGGTACTGAGGAATGGAACCCAGGACTTTATACATGCTAGGCAAGCAGTCTACCACTAAGCCACCTTCCCAGCCCTTATTATTCTTTTTTTATTGTGAAAATACTGTACAGGGGGTTACAATTACATGGGCAAGATAATGAGTACATTTCTTATCAAGCATTGTAGCCTCCTCCTTTGTTTCCCCTTCCCATCTCATCCTCCCCCTCCCTCCATCCAACCCCCTCCCCCCTTATTACTCTTTTCTTTCTTTCTTTCTTTCTATCTATCTGGTGTCAGTTTTGGGGTTTGAGCTCAGGGCCTGGATGCTGTCCCTAAACTTTTCTACTCAAGCTGGCATTCTACCATGCAAGCCACAGCTCCATTTCTGGCTTTTTGCTGATTAATTGAGTTAAGAGTTTCATGAACTTTCCTGCCTGGGCTAGCTTTGAATTAGATCTCAGCCTCCTGAGTAGCTAGGATT